CCTTGAATTTCTAAAGTCCTTGAGGTATGATCTGGGTCACAATTAGAACAGACAAGATAAATAGTATCAGGCAATATCAACACACACTGATTTGCCTGATGGAAAATGGCAACCTTTATTCAAAGAATAAATGGTGTCCCTACTACGTTAATATGCTTCTGGACACTGGCATTTCTGTTGGATTGAGCATGTAGTCCATTTGAAGTACCTTGTTGACACTCACAGTTTAGACTTCCCCTAGGTGCCTCTGCCAGGAACTCTGCTGCACAGGGACTATGTTTCCCCCTTTGCCACGCCTGTCCATGTTCATTCTCTTCTATGGATTAGCAATGGTTTCCTATCACTGGTCTTCAGCAGCACTTCCTGCTTAGTCATAAGGTTTTCAGATTTATCTATAATTATGTCTTTCTTTTACAGGATGACGTGACTGACACTTAAAAATCAAAAATATGTTTTCCTTTTAATCTTCTCAGGGAAAAAAAACTTACTGTTCATGTCATAGTAATAGCACACATTATATTCTAACATAATAATTATGAGATTAGCACACTAGAGAGTGTGAAACCCTGAGTTCTCAGAGTTCACGGAATTGGTTTCTCTGTAGAGAGTGGTTTACTGGTAATCACCAACAGGATGCTTTTTGTTCCTAAGAAAGGGAAAGGAGCTATCAGGGAGTTGATTTTTATAAACAAAAAAGAAGCTTTTTTCCAGAATAGAGACTTCTCTAATAATAACGTGTATTACTATTACATATTTATTCACAAGGACTGGTAAACTAAACCACACAGGCCAAATCCAACCCCCCTGGCTGGTTTGGCAAAATTTCCTCAGTACACAGCCACTCTTGTTACACTTATAGACTTATGTTAGATCTAAGGCTCCTATTGCACTGCACAGGAAGAGCTGAACAGTTGCCAGAGACTGCATGACCTGTGCAGCCTAAAATATTTAACACTTAGAATTTAATAGAAAAATTGTACAAAACCTTGTCATGATAAACTTGAGAAAGCAAAACTTCAATAGCCCGAAAGTTAGAAAAAACAAAACCTATGTTTTCTTTGAAATTTTCTTTGAACCTCTGATTCCTGTTGTGTATTACAAATTTTCATGTTGCTTTCCTAACTTTGCAAACCTCTCTTGGGAGAAAATATTTTCTGATGATAAAAAATTAATGGTTGTATTCTTCTCAGGCCTAGTAACCTTAAGGTAGGTTGGAAGAACTACAGATAAGTAGAAAGAAGAAAACTATAGTCCTAGGACATGACCAAACTTAATCATGGTAATCTCCACTTGCACTCCATAGCTTTCCTCCTGAGGCATGTGACCAGACTTTCTATGATTTGCCTTGTCTCCTTCATGTATGGTGCTTTACTACTAAGCTAGAATACTTGCAGATCCAGGTGGCCCAATTCCCTATTTCTCTCAAGATTGATAAAATAAGACAATGAGCCCTTTGTAGTAAGGACGTTGAAGCTTGACATAAATGCCTCATGGGTAATTAAAGACAGAATGAAACTTTACATCTCTGCTTTCATTTTTTGTCTTCTCTTGTATTATCTTAACAATGGATCAGCTGTACATATCGGTGTGTTAACCACTTAAGTGATACATGTATTACTGTTGTGTTCAGTAGAGAGTCAGGGGTGGGACAGGAGTCCCCTGTAATGACCCTTTGTTTCTCTTTGGGTCCATGTCCTCACTCTAGCGAATAATGAAGAAGTGGGACTCTTAGAAGAAAATGGGGGCGTCAAGACTGGTACAATGCAAAACAAAAGTTTATTTATAGTGTCTCAAATGTAGAAGAACAAGAAGAAGAGCTATCTTAACAGTAGACAACTGCAAGACAGGGGCACCCCATTTCAGAAGGCAGCACTGAATATGAGATGTGTTCATACTTGTAGGGGCAAAGTGTTTTGCTGATTGGAATTGTCTAGGCAAATCAAGTTCTTAGCCTTTGTTTCTGGTAAGGTGAAAAGGTCAGTATGCAGTAAATATGAGAAACACTTTCATAAAGAATACTATATGATACCTTTTTTTCAAGCACATGATGTACAATAATCTATAAGCATGTGGTAGTCTTCTATTGTTGGCCACAAATAAGTATGTCATGATTTTTACACTGTTAGTTATTAGTGTTTTGCACTGGATTTTTTATGTTCCTTGAATCTGTCCCTATATTATCAAGCTCATTAATCAAAACTTACCTCGCATATCCTCTTAAGGCTGAGGACTCCAAGATAAAACAACTAATTTTCAGGATTTAATTACCAAGGTTTTACAACATTCACTCATAGACCACTGGAGCAATGCCTTGTACAAAATTTCACTCACTATATTTTCCAGAAAAGTAGAGCTTGCTTTCCACACCATGTTAAGAAGAAACAGACTCAAGGAGTTCAAATTATGCTTCTAGGCAAAACATGTTAGTTCACCTATCTTATAGGAGACATATAAGAGTAGATATATACAGTATGTATCCTCAACCCTGCTGAATATCTAAGTTTATTTAGTAACTTTGCAAACATATACTCCAATAAATTGGATAATTCAGAAAAAAATGGATAGATTCCTAGATACATATGATTTACCAAAACTGAGCCGAGAAGATAAAAAACCCAAATGCATCTGAAATGAACAGACAATTTGCAGACAAAGAAGTAGAAATAGCTAACAAACATATGAAATAATGTTCAACATCACTGGTCATTCAAGATGAAAATAACACTGAGATTCCACCTCACCCCAGAAAGAATGGCTGCTATCATGAAATCCACCAATACCAAATGCTGGCTGGGCTGTGGGGAAAGAGCAAACACTGCTTCACTGCTGGTTGGAGTGTAGATTGGTGGAACCACTGTGGAAATCATACAGAGATACCTCAAAGAACTAGGATTGGAAGTCCCATTTGACACAGCTGCTCCCCCACTGGGTATCTTCCCAGAAGAATTAAATGAATCATACCAGTGATACATGTGCACCCATGTTTATAGCAGCACAGACTGTAATAGCTAAAACTTGGAAGTAACCTAATTGCTAATCAACAGACTAGATAAAGAAAATGTGGATTTTTAAAAAATAAAATGGGGTACTATTCAGCCACAAAGAATGAGAAACTAGTGACATTTATAGCTAAATGGATGCACACTGAAGTGATACTCTTAAGTGAAATAAATAGGATACACGTGTAAATACTCAATAGTTTTTCTAGTGTGAGAAACTGAAAATGTAAATAAGGACCTAAAAGATCTAATAGATAATGTGAAACAGGAAGAAAAGGGGGAAGGGGAAGGGGAAGTGGGAGTGGTATGGGGAAAGAAAGAAGGGAATGGAATTAATATTAGTAAAAGAAAAAATGGAGACAAAGTCTTTGTAAACAGGGAGGGGTAGAGGGCTTGAAGGCAGGAAAGGTGAATGGGGAAAATATAAGGTGGATTATGTAAAGGTGCAAATTTCCAATGATGATTGTCACTATATTTTATACCTTAAATGTACCAATAAAATTAATTTAAAAAACCCAAATGCAAGAACATAAAATGGAATTAATGCAGTAATAAATACCTACCAAGAAAAGACCATGATCCCATGAATTTATAACTGAGTTCTATAAGGACTAATTTCAGGGCTGGGGATTTAGCTTAGTGGTGCTGCTGCCTGCCTCGCAAGAGCAAGGTCCTGAGTTCAATCCCCGGTACAAAAAAAAAAAAAAAAAAAAAAAAAAAAAAAAATGTCCTCAAAATCTTTAATGAAATTGAAAGAAGGCTACTCTCAAAATCATTCCTTAAAGATAGAATTATCCTGATTCTAAAACCAGATGGTAACTGAAATGAAAAAGAGCTCAGTCTCTTTAAAGAACACAAATGTAAAATTTCTCAACAAGATATTGGTAAATAAAATGAAAAAAATAATCAAAATGATAAAACTTCATAGCCAATTAATCAAGTTTATCTGTTTAAATTAATTTTCTATAAAGAAAACAGAGTGGAAGCTGTTTCTTATGTTGGATTTATATTTTCATTACAAAAATGCAATAATTTTAAAATATTGTTATTTTTACTGTGTAAAATTATTAAGGGTGCTAATATGTTCAGACTTGCCACAGTGTTATGGGAGATACTATAAACAGAGTTGCATACGAGACACTTATCTTTTTGAAGTCTACATTACTGTAGAAGAGACAAGTACACAAGATAGCCAGTTATGTATATACAAACACAATATTTATATATCACAAAATAACTATAATAGTGTGTCCCAATTCTAGCTGAATTCTTTAATCAGAAACTTCGCTGATTGCTACTTGGATTTCATGGAAATTATTCTATTTCTATGGCAACTTCCATGAGTTTCTAATACTTGTTCTATTTCTATGAATTTAAAATATTATAAAAAAACTAAAACATATATCTCCTCACTTTCATTGATATGATTGTCAGCCAAATTTTATCTTGATATCTAGTTTTGTTACACCATAGTTTTAAAAATCATTTCTTCTGCAATCAAAGCACAAGCCTCACTTTAGAAACACATAAAAGAAAATTGATTTTCACTCCGAAAATGTCAAACTTCTGCCTGTGATACTCAGCCACAGCAAAGTTCAAAACGAGCCATCGACCTGATGGCCCTTTGCCTCATGATGATGGATGCAATGTATCTACTATTTTAGGGCCAGAATCTCTTCCAAGACTATGAGCCAATCAATGACAAATAATATATCTAAACTGAGAAGAAAGTGTGCTTGTTATAAATGTATTAGAGAAGAAAAAAGCTGATCTTTTACTTCTTGAGGGAAAGAGTGTTATAAACTATGAATAACTTTTGTTCTCTATTTCTGGTTCACATGAATTAGATATGAATGCATTTGCTTAAAGAAGCTGAGTGAACCCTGAAAAATTCCATACGTGGTTAATGAAATTAGTGTGAGGTAGAGACACAATTTTTTTCTTTAAAGAAGGAAAACCTATGCAGTAGATGATGTCAAGGGAAATTTAACCATTACTCACGCTATGATCTCGTGCTTGTGTCATTCACTGCATCTGGTGACTTCAACTGTTCATAGTGAATGCTTCAATTTTCCTATAAGACAGAGTTACTGATTAACATTATTAAAATAAACTTTATTCAAATGCGGAACTTAAAGCAATTCATTATCATACATATTCTATCTGTGCCAGAGATAAATTATTGCAAATTATGCAAAGTAAATCCTGCAGTCTTACATGGGAGCTTTGAATATAGGTGTTTGAAAAACTTCTGATGTGAAACTTTACTTCATCATATACAGCACCACCACCAACTCATCCGGGTTCCATCTCTGTTTGGGAAATGAAAAATCACTTCCACCTACATGTGTTCAGGTCTGGCATTTGCCAGAGACATACACAGGGGAGTACAGAAGAAAAAGCTCTGTAAAATATGCTGCTTGACATAATATAGAACCTTACAACAGTTAAAAGTATTATACAGTTTGAAAGTTACTTTGCAATGCTTTTTAGATTTGAGAATTATATTTTAAACCTTTATTACTTTAGTGTCACAAATTTTTATATCTATGCTTTGTCTTAGAGGAATTAAACATTTTTATGAAAATGTGGTGCAAAATCTTAAGACACTTCAGATATCACTATAATTTGTAATGGGTTTTGATCATCCTCATGTTTAGAAGATGCCTTAATTATTCAAATACTTTAGGTACATATCAGGGAATAGATAAATAATTCAGTAGAAATAAGTATTTGTTTTCAAGCATCTATAAATGTTCCTTTGAGAACATGTCTAAATATGCGATTAAAAAACATACTTAAGGGCCAGGGATTTGGCTCAGTGGTGTCACCCCCTGCCGTGCAAGCTCAAGGTCCTGAATTTGAACTCCAGTACCAAGAAAAAAAACTTAATTTATGAAAAAATTATGTTTTTTTCTTAGAAACAAACGTAATCTAGTGAATGAGCAGACATAATTAGGAAAATATTATTTTAAATATTCTTAAATGATTTATATGAAATAACATCATGAGAAAGGACAAAGCATTTGTAAAACTCTAGAAGATATAATTGGATTTGTGTGTGTGTGTGTGTGTGTGTGTGTGTGTGTGTGTGTGCGTGTGTGTGTGTGTGGTGGTACTGGGGATTGAACTCAGGACCTTGCACTTGTGGGGCAGGCAGGCAGGCAGCAGCACCACTGAGCTAAATCTCTGGTCCTGTAATTGAAAGTTTGAAAAGACTTTTATAAATATACAAAACCTCCGCATAAAATAAAATTAAGAAATGCATAGAAATCATTTTTATTCTATTTTTGAGATTAATAAATACTAGTTAAACTATGTAGGACAGAACTCAAAAATTTTTTAAAATGTCTATTTCAAACAATGATTTCAGAATAAAATTTAAGTGTAAAACAATAAGTGAACATAGAACTTTTTCAGCCGAATTATAGATGAGAATTGATAGATTCTTCAAAATTTTTACACTTATACAAGGCTGTTTTCAACCTACTATGTTCCCTCAGTAGAGTCTGGGACATTTTTATATAAAAATCAAGACTCCACTGAGCACTTTCAAAATTCCATATATGAACCATTCTTATACAAAGAACTGAATAAATTTGGATCTCTCATTTGGCTTACATAACAGTAAACACAATAAGAGAATGTACTACAGTGACCTCCCAAGTGGACTTCAGAGTTTAAATTAGTTTCAAAGATCTGATACAGGTAGATTTCCCAAAGGTTCTGTATATATCTGAATAATTCTGAATTTGTCCTATTCTAAACATTTAAAAAGTTGTATCTGTGTTTTGGGTGTATTGGTAATACAATGGAATTTCCCAATATAGTTTCAGAGTAATGTAGTAATTATACATTTAATATTCTAATTTATTGGAAACAGGAATTTTATATAGTTCATATATAATTATATATTAAATTATAAATCAACTTTATATATTATATATTATAATTAATATAGTATGTGTTTTATGTATTACACATTGCATATTATATTACTTTTATATATTAAATTTTATATAATTTATATAATTGAGGAAATTTATAATCTAATAGAGCATTTAATGACTCTGGGTCAGGTCACAGAAGATATTTTAAAAAGATTAAAATTTCAGCATAAATTGGGATTTGGTTTAAAAATTCATGTGATTGACTTATAATTTGTTGATACAGCACTAAAGACCAAATAATTACTTAAAATGCTTAAAATCTTACTTTTAAAATGTTTTCTGTTACCAAGATTTGAAGAATAATAGATCAATGATTATATATATGAAGTGCATTTCAACAAATAGTTTCTACAGTTTCAAGTAATTGGAGGTGGGGTGTTATATCTTAGGACCAATCTAGTGAAGTATTTTTCTTAATGTGAATATTAAAATAAAAAATCTATCCTAATGGATGATAATTCAACAGTACTCTTTAAAGTTCATTGTAGTACAAAAAAAATAAGCACAAGTTCTAACTGGTCTGAATTGCTTTAACATTATCTACAATAAATAACAGTTTTCTAAGTTAAAATACATAATTTCCACACTGCACTTAGTAATTTTATCTAACATGTCCAGGCTTGTACTAAAATCACTCTGCAAATATTGTTAGATTTATCAAGTATTCTTTATGATGAATAACTATTGCGTGGTAATATACTATTTAACTAAGAAGATACAATATTTAACTGCCGTTCAGCTTTTTAATCGAATCATTAAATGTGCTACTGCATACAGATACTTGAGTAACGCATTGATTTTAAATTTATTTCTTTACATTTTTAAACTTCGGCACAACTTGCCACACATATCAATTACATTCACCTTTGGGAATTTGTACTTGTCCAGAATATATCTTCATTTTTCTTTTTTCCCCCCATTCTCTACCCCTCCTTTCAACTTCTTCTCCCCTTCCTATTTAAGAAAAAAGCATTATTTTCCTTTCCCTTTTTTCCCTTCTCCATCCTCCCCTTTATTCCCCTTCCCATTTTAGCATGTTCTACTTCCCAACACGCGTCCTCCATTATGGTTCTCATTTACCTTTTGGATTTCTTACACAACAGAAACCATGAGTTATTTACAGGTGTGTCTGATTTATTACACGTAAGACTGTGTTGTTGATGTGCATCAATTTTCCTACAAATGATTCAAATTTTCGTGGCAGAGTACTACTTTACTGTATGTCAATGTCACAATTTCTTTTTCCATGGATCTTTTCATGGGCAAATGGGCTATTTCAAGATTTAGCTATTATAAATAGTGCTGCTATAAACATGGTCATGTATCTATCACTGTGGTATGATGCTTCTTAACTCTTTCTGTAGGATACCTAAAAGAGAAATATCCTCATCAAGTGGAACCTCTAATTTCAATTTATTGTGGAATCTCTGTACTAATTTCCACAGTGGTATACCAGTTTACACTATCACTAACCGCAGATGAGTATTCCTTTTTTCCCCACAGCATCACCACCACTTATTATTTGTTAGTTTCTTGATGAATTCCATTCTTTCTGGGGTGAGATGGAATCTCAGTGTTGCTTTAATTTGCATTTCTTGAATGATCAGTAATGTTGAGCATTTTTCATATTTTACCATTTGCATTTTTTAATATGAAAAATGCCTATTATCGCTTCTCGACCTTTTGGCTAAGATCAAGTGAAAAATGTCTATGGATTTCAGATGTCCATTTTGGGACTGAGTCTTTACTTTTGGGGGTATGATTTTTTTTTAATTTCTTATGAATTCTATATGTTAGTCCTTTGTTTAAGGAGTACCTGCTATTTTTTTCCTCATCCTGTGGGTTGTCTCATCACTCTGTTGGTGGTTTCTTTTGCTGTGCAAAAGCTTTTTAATTTGATATAGCTCCAGTTGCTCATTGTAATATTTTGTGTGCAATCATTTTTTATAGAGTCTTTGCCTATTCTTTTGTCTTCAAGAGTTTTACCTATTCTATATTTTAGCAAATTGTTTCTGATTTTTACAACTCTAATCCATTTTAATTTTAGTTTAGCACATCATGAGAGACACTTGCCTAGATTCATTTTTCAGCATGAGAAAAGCCAGTTTTCATAGTGCCATTTATTAAAGATACCTTACTTTCAGTTAAGATGTTTGGTTCCTTTGTCAAAGATGAGATAGCAGAATGTGATTAGAGTCGATAGTGCATTTTCTTTTCTGTTGCATTGATTCTTGTGTCTGTTTTTGTTTTTGCCAGAACCATGGTGCTTCTTATCACGGTAGCTTTGTAGTATTACTTTAAACTGGGGATTGTGATGCTCTCTGTTTTGTCTTTGTTACCCAAAATTGCTTTTGCTATTCTAGGACTCTTCTGACTCCACATGAATTTCATGACTGTTGTATCTAGTTTTGTGAGGCATATTATTGGTATTTTGACTGAGATTTCATTAAATCTGTGTATCAGTTTGGAAATATGGCCATTTTCATTATATAGGTTCTGCCTATTCCATATAGGAAATATCTTCCCATTCTGATATCCCCATATATCTCCTTTTTTTGAGTACTGTGAATTTCAATGTGCAGGTCTTTCATTTCCTTTGTTATATTGATTTCTAAGTATTTCATTTTTCTTGGTGCTACTATGAAAGGCATGCTTTCCCTAATTTCTCTCTCAGTTAGTTTGTTGTTCATTTATAGGAATGGTACTAACTTGAGTACCGACTTTGTGTCCTGTTATTCTGCCCAAGTTAGTTATCAATTCTAAGAGTTTTAGAGGTCTTCTCTGTAGATTATCATGTCATGCACAAATAATGATATTTTAAGTTCTTCCTTTCCCACTCATATTCCTTTTATTTCTTTCTCACCTAATTTCTCTGGCTAATGTATGCAGAACTACATTGAACAGTAGTGGTGATGGTGGGTGGATATTCTTGTCTTGTTCCTGGATTTAGAGAGAAACTTTTCAGTTTTTGATGATGTAGTATGATGTTGGCTGTTGGTTTGTCATAGTAAAATAATTCATGCTTCATAAAAATAAATTTCAAACTCCAGAAATATTTCAAAAATTTTCAGTTTTTCAAAATATTTCAAAATTCCAATCACCA